TCCTTTGTTCTTGACAGTAGGACCAGATCATCGGCATAGAGTATGTGATTGATGCCATCTACCTTGTCTGTGGCTTTGGAAGGATTCTTTTATGTCATCTATAAATATATTAAAGAGTGTTGGGCTTAGATTATCGCCTTGGCGGATTCCAATTTTAGCAAAAAAAGGTTTGGTATAACTGTTGCCTGTGGAGATTCCTAATTTAGTATTTTTGTACATATGTTTAATCAGATTGTAAAATTTTCCTCCTATTCCAAGTTTCTGTAATTTGAGTAGTAGACCTTTGTGCCATACCGAATCAAATGCCTTTTTAAAATCAATAAAACATGCATAGACCTTCCTATTTTGATTTGTATATCTGTTAATAATTGATTTAAGTGTGAAAATGTGATCAGTTGTTCTGTAACTTGGTCTGAACCCACCCTGTTCTACGCTGAGTTTGCCTTCCTTTTCAATCAAGTCAGTTAGCCTATTTGCCAGAATAGAATTAAATAACTTACCCAAACAGCTTGTAATGCAAAGACCCCTGTAATTTGAGGGATCCAGACACTCACCAGACTTATAGAGTGGTATGACTATGCCTAAATTCCAAGCATCAGGGATCTCACCAGAGTTTAAGACCAGGTTAAAAATTTTAGTCATCGCACCAGTTAGGTATGGTCGCCCAGTCTTAAGCATTTCATTTCGTATGCTATCTGCCCCAGGTGCTTTGCCATTTTTTAGTTTTCTGAGTGCCTTTTGGACCTCCTGAATGGTTATAGGGTAATCAAGTTTAGGATTCCCAGGGCAATGTTCATATCTTTTCAATTCATCATCAATGTCATTGTCACCTGGAGGCGGGATACCACACAGTTGTTGGAAATAATTGTGCCATACATCAGGGGCAATAAGGTTGTTCTGATCCTCTTCTTTTTTAAGTTTTTTGATAATTTGCCAAAATTCTTTGGGGTTCTTTTCTTCAATGTTCAAAAGCTTTTCAAGGAGGTTGTCTTTATGTTCTTGTTTTTTTCTTTTTCAGAAGTTGTTTGTACTTTTTGCAAGCTTGATGATAAGTGTGAGAGATAAAGTGATTATTCGGGTTTTTGTGGAGTAGTCTCCCAAGGTGTTTAACATTCCGTTTTACTTCGATACATTGATTGTCAAACCAGGGCTGTTTTTTATTCCCTTTTCTTGGATTACTATTTTTCTTTGACATTCTTTTTGTACGCAGTGATGCACTAGCTGCGCCATCTAGGATTTTATTAAAAGACTGACATGCCTTATTTACTCCCTCTTTAGTAGTTGGGAAGGTGGTAGTTTGAAATTCATATGGCTTCTATGTTTTTTTCACTTTCCAGTTCACTAAGAAATTTATCTGCAGAGTCATTGCCCCAGATGTACTGATCTTTGAATTTTTGAAGCGGAATAATTTTTGGTGACTCCTTGAAACCCTTACTTGCAATTGTGAGATCTAGAAGACAGTGATCTGAGATATAGTCAATTGGGTGAACAGTGAAATACTTTACACAATCAACTAACTTATCACTCAAAATTGCATAATCCACTGCACTACAGTCATTTTGATTGTAACATGTGTAGTACCCCAATGAATTTCCTAATACTCTTCCATTCAGTATTCTCAAATTGCTGCTAATGCATAATTCTACAAGGGTTCTTCCCTGAGAGTTTATGATACTGTCTAAGTTGTTCCGAGCAGGAGTGAGCATTTGAACAACTACATCTAAAATGTGCAATTGGGCACTAGGTGTACAAAAAATGCTATGAACAATGCCTGTAGAGCTGAATTTGGAAGATTTCCACTCTATTCTGATGTTGCAAAACAGACACAGAGATACAACGCCAGACTAAAAGAGCTACCTTCCAACAGATTGGTCAAAAACATTTATGAACAGGAGCAAAAAGAAAAAGGACCCTGTTGGTCTGAATCAATAAGAACATTTATAAAGTGTTGGGTTCTGGGTCATAAAACTAATACACAAACACTAGATAACTTTGAAAACCTAAGAGATGCTATCAACAATAAAATTGAGGAACTATTTTGGCAAGACCCGGAAAGTGATAACTACAGTAAACTTAGGACATACAGATTACTTAAAAAAACTTACACCCCTGAAAAATATCTGTTAATGAAAGTCACACAATCAGAAATGAAGACTATTGCAAAAATGCGGATTAGTGACTACGAATTAGAAATTGAACGTGGCCGCTATACGTCCCCTAAAACCCCTATTGAAAATCGCAAGTGCCCCCACTGTAATGAAATTAAAACGGAAATCCACTTCCTACTGAAATGTGAAGAACATAGTGACAGAAGAAGTGGACTAATGATACCTCCTGAGCAGAAAACAGATCATGAAAAAATTCAGTGGCTGCTCAGTCCAAAAAGTGAATCGTGCTTGAGAACATTACATCGATATATAACTGACAGTTTAAAAAAACGACACACCCATCAATAGCAATAATCGTTTTATTCTGTGCTGCTTCCCAGTAATCATTCCATAAGTATTTGTATAGGTTTGTATAATTGTTATTAAGATGTTATGACTAGTGTAGAGAGCCTGTAAAATGTAACATGTACACATTTTAGTTGCTCAATAAAGATTATTATTATTATTATTATATAAAACCACATTAAATTTTGTCTACCTTATGTGAGAGGGAGTTGAAAAAAGTTAGTATTCAATATCTGAGAGCTCCAACAGAGGACCAAATGTCGGGGCCCATTGAAGATGCCACGAATGTACTGTTTAGCAGCTTTTGCATCTTCACGAATGTATTTTGGGTGATGTCAATTTTTTTTCTGAGAACACATACCACTACCGTCCCTGCCAAAGCCACTGATATATATATATATATATATTTAGGAACAAGCTTGATCAAATAAATTGCTTGAACACAGAAGTCTTAAGACTGATATGTAGTTATTTATATTATTTCTTATTTCACATTGAATAAAGAAAAATATTCTTTCCAGTTTTACCAAAGTCATACCTCTTTGTATGCAAAGATACTCATTCTGTACATGGAAGTCTGTACACATATTATGTTACTGCAATACGGTCATTTCATCGGGGATATTGTGAAGTTTACAAATACTGTATTTTTAAGTAATAAATTCTTAAAATTGGAGCACTTCTCTTGAGGTGTAGCAACACAACTGAAAAACATTTTACCTAAAAGTTGTATTCTGTAGAGTGTGTGAGGTTTATATTGCTTATTACTTGCAAAAGAATTTTGCAAGTCTATTGCTCGTTTGGCAAAATTCGGCCCAGGAAGGCAGTATATGGTTGTGCGGGTAAGCTGCCCCGTTATATGTCTTTTGTGCCCGTAACATGCATGGTTAAAACAGAAGAGGCCGTTGAACGACAGCCATTTCCTAGCCGATGAAACACGCAAGTTGGACGTTTTTGACGTGGAAATCATTTTTTGAGACGAGGTAGGTGTTAAAGGAGGGCATATGTATGCAACATATGTCATCCAGTTGCTTCATTTAGGCCATTGGGACGTTCAATTTACAGTTATTAAGTGTTTAAGTGCAGCTGGAAAAGGGCGGTTTACTCACTTTACTTACTTTTTTTTTGCTTTATTTTGTTTCTATTTGTTTTTGTTTCATATTTAAGCATATGTTAACATTGTTTTATTTATTTATATGAAAAGATAGTTACATTATTATCAGATATCTACTTATGAAATAAACTAAAAAATATGGCAATCATTTATGCAATTATAATGCAGTGTATAATAAAGGTAGATTTAGATAGAATAAATATGCTGCCAGTACAAATTGCATTTTCTTGTTTAATTTGTAATTACAGGTAGATCTGAATATTACTAGGTTCAAAAATGAATAAAAATTAAAAGTAAATTGAAATTTTAAAATATTTCCAACATTTGCAAGGTCTTTTGCTCTATGAGCAATTTTATCTTGTATTGTGCTTGAGGAGCCGGGTGATCTAGCACATCTGGGTTTTAGGTTTAGGGCTACTCCCATTAGCTTAGTAGACTTTTTATTTCATTCAACACACTGTCTCCGTGGGAGGAACACGTAGTATATTCTTTCTTCTTAATCAGTTATTTTCAGTTTTGTTACTTAGAATTTATAGTTTAAGGAATGACAGAAAAATATAGTTTTTAATACTGATCATTGATTTAAAAAATTTATTAGATTTTGTATAAGTAAATTTCAGCATGGTAAATCATGGGAAGTGAGTGCATTTTTGTCATTTTGGCTTTTCTTTTTAGTTTTTACGTGTCTTGTGAATTTCTGCATGAAATAAAACCAAGATCCAGTGAAAAAGATACATATACCCAGTATATGCCTTTCCTTGACTTAGCTTATCTGCACACTATACATTAAAAGCACAAAATTGCTACATAGAATTGTATTTTTATTGATTCCAAAATTATGTACCTAAAAATTGATAATTTTCCCTATTCAAATGATCAAGTCATTACCATAACTGGGAAGAAAGCTGTAACCTTTTTGGTTCCAACTCAACAAAAAAGTTACTCATTGTCTTCAAATGGTGGTCAAGAGAAAAATAGACAAAATTTCATTATTCCTTACATCCAATTAATATTTCCCCCTTCCTAGCTGGCATTCACAAGACATACATGAATATGGAGCATGGTCATGTTTTTCACTTCATAACATGTGATAATGTTACGGTGTTTTGAATCATGGCCTAGTACTGCGTATAAAACATGTTTTTTCTTACATGATATCATGGCTACCATCTTGGCTGTGAACAAAATTAGGTATGCTTCAGATAAGATTATGTTCAAGGAATTTAAATGTCTTAAAGTCTGAATTGGAAAACATAAAATAGGGGAAATTAGCATGAAAATAACCATGGGGCAATTTCAATGTCAAGTGAAGAGAGAGAAAGTGCATGTCCTTTTATCCTAAACATATGTTCTTACTTAGTGGAACTAAACAGTTTAGTATGAAAACAAAATTGTGGAATGAAAGAAAAAAGCAGAACTTTCGTAACCAGTTTTTATTTCCATATTTTCACAATATTGCCATAGATTACAACACTAAAATATTCCCAAACAAAATTAATGCCAAAGAACCCAATTGACATAAAAATTTTACAACAATGTCCCAGATTACTGCACTAAAACATTCTAAAACATCCACTTAAAATGAAAAGAACCCCCCAATTATCTCTGAATATTAATAATATCTTCCCAGATTACAATTTTGAAATATTCTACCAAAACATGAAAGTTAAGAAACAAGAACCCCCGAATTTAAATCTAAATATTAATAATATCCTCCCATATTACAATTTTGAAATATTCTACCAAAACATTAAAGTTAAGAAACAAGAACCCCCTAACGAACATGATAGTTTAACATATTCCCAGATTACCACACTATAACACACAATTAAAGATAAAAAAGCCTCCCAATTAACATGATATTTTTTACAATATCTTCTCAAACTACTACAATAAAATATCCAAAAACACAGTAAATCCCATGAAATGTAAACAGCAATTCTGTACTGTCAACTACCCAAGACATTGCAGTGGTGGTATATGCATTAAGTATTCTAAAGTATCATCACTAGTTTTCAAAGGGGCCTTGCAAAAGTTAACTTTGAATTACATAAAAGGATTGACTTTTCTTTTAGGTTCAAACATGTACATGATGATCACTTGGTAAGAAAATTAACAATTTAAAGAAAAATGCATGTTAGCCAAATTAATTTGTTAAATATTTCCAATCTTATTACATTTAAGCCTTTATGGTATGTAAATGTACATATAACTTGCATGATAAAAATGGTAATACTATATAGCAGCACATTATCTAAAAGTTTCAGTTATCATTTAAGTTACCAGCTATAACAATTTCTTTAAATTTGGCACTTTGCCAGAAATTTTGCTAAAAATAATTTCATCTGTCATTTCTAGGTGTGAAAATATAAAAAGTCCAATTCAGTGTCCTTAAAAACTGACTAATTAAATCTCAAGACAAAAATGCATAATAACCATATTAATAGGTTAAAGACAGTAGATCCAACAGATTAAAAACATAATAAGATTAAACCCAATTTGATCAAGCATGCTGAACTTGCAGAGTTTCTAAGATCTTGTCTGTAATCCTCCTGTCCACTGCAACTTGCCTTATATGCTGGGTAGTGGTGTTACTAGTCTAGGCTCCGCAACTAAAAGAACAAAGTAAAACTTGAATCTTAAAGGAGATTTGGATTCAAAATATTCATTCAAAGTACAGACTGTAGATAGTCAGAAATAAGCAACACATAGGGATTTTATTTCTGGCATTGTATTTTGTCTTAATCTATATAACAAGGCAGCAAAGCTGTCAAATGTACAGACAAAAAACAAAATAATAATGCACAAAATAAGATACTGTCAATTCTGATGCAATAAACATTATGCTTAAGTGCAAAGTCAACATCAAATTATGATTATGCACAACAGGTAATAATGATGAAATTAAAAGCATAAGGCTTCAGGCCCATGAGAGTTCAAGTTTACACTTAGAAAATGCCAGAATGAGAAAAAGGAAAATTTCACAAAAAAATTGCATAAATTCAATAAAAAATGATAATCCAAAAGAGCTGGTTTTCTAATTTGAGCTGAATGCCAAACCTTAGAATCATCCTTTTAAGTTAAAAATAATAAGTAACACAGTTTTCTTTTCATAATGTTTGTGGTGACATGGCACGAAGTAGGTTTTTATGCATGTACAGACACATCTGTGTCTGTACATAAAAATTAATTGGTACACATGTATTTCTATAACCAATTTGCAAGTATTATCACTATGGTGGTGCGCATGATATCTAAAATATTTTTCAAAACATAATTAAATCAAAACATAACTAAATAACCCTAGAGTCACTATAGTTGTTCAAGTAATGTGTCTAAAAAAACATACTTAAGAAAAAAGTCAATGTGACATAATTATCCATACCTCCCCTTCTTAAAAGGACGCAACATCAGGGCCGTAGCCTGAGCAAAATGCCAGGGGGGACAGTAAGCGGACACGAGGGGGCGAAGCGAAGTGTGGAAAATTTTTAAAAACTGTATGTATAATACTGCATTCTGGTGCATTTTAACTGTTATTTATTGCTCAATCAGAAGTCAGAAATTGTGGGTTCATTTTGCCATAAGTACAGTCATTTTTTCAACACAACACGCCAATTGGCCTGGGGGATAGCTCCCTCAGGGAGGGTGAGCTTTTTGGAATGGACTGAGTTGGATAAAAACAATACACCTTTGTAAACAGATTGTTGAATGATTGTCTAGTGGCCATGAGTGCCTTTTCTCACAGAATTGATACCAACTTTGCAGTTATTTTTTTACCTTTGCAATTATTTTTTTTTCACCCCAATTTCCAGGGGGGGGGGGGCAGCTGCCCCCCCTGCCCCTCCGGAGGCTACGGCCCTGAACATGTAGTAATGTATGATGCATAACTGCTGTGGGTTTTATATGGCACAAACGGAATTAAAATATCTGAAGAATGAGACGATGCCTTTTGGTATTTCTTTAATTTATACTATTTGAAACTACTTGAGGGCATTTGGTTGGGTTAAGTGGCAAAGATTTGATTTTATACATGTACTTGTACTGAAAAAATATAAATGCAGGAAGTGATTTAATTGTATGCTATTATCTAATATGCATGGACAGCAATAACAGTATACAATCCTTAATTTAATCATAACCAATAATTTGTGAGTGTTACAGTCAATTAATATGTAATGACATGGGGGGGGGTCCAAATTCTGAGTCCACATAGATTTGAGTACCAAGTGTAACTACCTTCGGCCTCACACGAAGCAATACACCGACAGCTCATGGACAAGTTGTTAATTGTGGCCTGGGGTATATAACTGGTCCTGGACTGACACACAGTTAGTGAATGTTTTCTGAAACTGGAAGGCCTTTTTGGATACAGTGTTCCCAAATATTACTTACCTTCCGTCATCCACAAAGCAATCTGCAGGAGGGCCTCCAGAACAGGGGGATTCATCGTCAGCAGAATCACCATCAAAATCTCCACACAGCCCATTCAGTTTCCCAGCATATGTGCCTGTTGTAAAGAAAAACATTTTAAAGGGATAATAACTCTTCGTATGAGATCTATATTTCGCAATAAAAACTTTGTGAATAACTCATAGAAATATTATATATTCTGTTTTGCCACAAAAACGGCAGTTTTAGCTATTATTCTGATATCTGAGTTTGCCTTTAGACCACGTGACCTCCATTGATGGCTATACTCTGTTAAAATCTCTTAAGAGATTTTAACAAAAAAACAAACTTTTTAGAAAAAAACCAGGGACTAACTTTGAATGTAAAAATGGATTCATTAAGCATTGGTAAGTATGGGAAAATTGTTGTTTACTCCAGGAAAATTCATTTTTTGGCTGAAACGAAGAGTTATTATCCCTTTAAGTATAACTGAACTTCTTTCAGCATATTTACATAATTTTACAACATTAACACAAACAATTATCATCTGCTTGTATTTATTACCTCATACCTTAGCTTTCAGGTGTAGCTAGGAACCATGAAAACAGAGCATTTGAGTTTAACTGATAAAAGAACTCGTTCATTCATTCATTCATTAAACTTTATTGATTGATTGTAAAAACATGGTATATTTAAAATCTATCTTCCCCATGGCCCTTAAAACTCACAATTAAGTGAGTGATCTAGAACAGTTTTTTTTCTTTAATTCTTGGTTGCTAAAATATTTCCAGTCACCTTTCAGTGACAAGGACATTGATGGTTCTGCCTTGATTACATATCTTTGACTCCCTCCCCCCTCCTCCTCCCTCTCTCTCTCTCTTTGTTTGTGTGTAAATATATGAGCATGTATGTTTGCCATTTTACCTGGAACGGTTATGATGGCTCTACGTCCTTTACGCCTTAATCCCTCAACAGGGGTGGTGAGTTCAACTTTCACAACACCAGGCACCTCCACAACAGTCCTTGGGAAGCCAGTTGGGTCAAGAGACAACATCACACTGCTGCCGACATCTTGTGGAGTCGTTGATGCACTGATGGTTGCATTGTTAACCTGCAATGGTTGTCAATATATGAGGACTCATTAACAATAACGTTTGTGAGCACACACCCAATGTTTTGGCGACCACTAGTTATATGGGCAATGTAATTGGTAAAAGCAATGTATTTTTAATATATGAGAAATATTTTATTCTTGAGAAAATGGCTTGATGAACACCGTTTCTCTCTAAAAAGAGGCACTTTTAGCATGTGTGTATGTGCACATGTGTATGTGTGTGTACGGGGGGTATTACTTCATTATGCACATAAATTTGTGCTTTGCTTGGGCTAAAATGTTCTTTCCCCTGGTAATTTAAAATAAAAATTATGCAATTAAAATATTTCCATCTGTATCCCTTTACTAACAACAATTGGTTAAACCCATTGGTACACACCAACACAGTTCCATCTGTAGTTAGTTGAATGGTCATACCGTGCACTTCTATCAAAACCTGCTGGATCATGGTCCTAGTACTCCCAGGCTTATAGTAGACAAATGTACCAGCTATGTCAAATTGCTCTGTGGCACTTGGCAGAGTTTCTGAGAGTGTATATTTACAAAACCCACTAAAAAGAAAGTGGCGCCGATCGAACTGCTCAAAATGGGGATCCCCTCTGACCATACACTGGCCCACTGAAAATTGTAAAATAATATTCATTAATTATACCTCTATAAGAAATCATGCAAGGTCAGTTATTCTGTACAGTAAGCATGTGCTTTACTGCTGCCCACTGTTCTGCTTTAATTCACTATTAAATGCCTTGATTATAAAAAGAATATTAAATCAAAAAAGAGTTAATAATAAAAGAATATTAAACAGTAGTAAAGTGTGAAAACTACCACCCTGAGATCACTTGAAACAAGTCACTACACTATACCATACCCTTGCCATTTCAACGATTGCATGGTTCAAAAGATTGCATATATGTGAAACTGAGCCCCTCCAGATCCAGAAAAGAATTTAACATTGTGATCACCACGTGACAGTATCCCACCAACGTGGTAGCCACGTACGCGTGTCTGGTAAGTTACCTCTATTACTTGCCGTGCATTCCATGTTTTCCACTGTGCCTCCGTCTACTCTGAAAACCCATCGACCTTGAACATCTATGTTGCTTGTTGTGTCTATGTCCACTATGGCAGAGGTTCTGGAGCCAGGCAAGGCGTAATAGTGTATTCCATCACCCTTATTGAAGCCTGCCTGTAAACAGTGGAAATAAGACGCATCGGGAAATGAAATGGAATGAAAATAAGCACTGGAAATACAACAAGTGTACGTTCAGAACCAGAGTGCATTTACAACAGATGTTCTGCGTACTAGCTGATTGGCCTACAAAATATGGCCTACCCCACTTAAAAGGCAATGCCACCTTGATGCATGGTCTCCCGGCGTCCACATGTGCCGTCATTGCAGAGGCCTAGCAATTAAACCTCGGAAATTTAATCTGTTTAAAGGCTCATATGGAGGAGGTTAGGTATCGTTTTTTTTTCAGTGGGGTCGGCCATATTTAGTTGGTGAACCAGTTAGTCCACGAGTCATCTGTACTGAATGTGACACAGCATGGGCAGAGCAACTAAATCTTGGCATGCTTTCAAGTGGGTTGCCCAATATTTGACTATTATTGATTTTTCATTTAATATTCACACGTGTCCCTGCTGTGATTTTAGTGTTAAGAAGTACATGTAGACAGAGAAATATCTGTTCATAGGTAATAAGAAATTAGTTAGAATGTAATGAAAGATCGAAGGTCACATATCATTTCATTGTCATCATCATCGAAGATCATTGGTATTGTCAAGTCGGTGCCAGTATATCTTAACTGTGGATAGATTTCACATATTGATGTTTTTGTTTCACTTTCCATAATTACTGCAGTTCACGTGTTTATAATACAGCACCATATGTAAAAATGCTTTAATATTAACTTTCAAGTTGATGAGCNGTGCAGGTGTTCCGCCCAGGCCAGTCGCGGGGTCTCCACCGTTTGACTTCGCTGTTGTCCACGCCACTTCTAAGTAGTTAAATATAGCATAAGAACGGCTACCGTCTGTTGCCAAGACAACCTGGAAAGTGTTCCTCTGGAAGAGAGCAAATGAGGCAAGTTATTCACTGCGTGTCCTGGATTGCTTTGAATACCCCTAAAAAAAGTAAAATTATTTTGTCATAGCTTTTATACTGTAAAATCAAAGATTTAGAATTAGATTTTTATCGTTAGGGCCGTCAGATTTGTTTTCATTATTTTGTATGTATGTGTATCGGCCGGCCTATGTAACTCTGATTATCTAAACATTTGTCCATTTGTTTCCAGAGGGAAAACACAAAAATGTAGGCATATGATAATTTTTTGCAAAATGTAAAGGCAAAAGAACAATCGCTTTAACAACAGCAAATAATAAAATGATTGAAATAATAAAAAAATCCAAATAAATAAGACAAACTAGAAAAGCACTCCGTAAGCGCAGACCTCGGCTAAGGCAGCAAAGTCTCCACCCAATGCCGTTTCTCCCCTTAATTTTCATTCTATAATGATAATTTTTTTTATTTTTGATAACTGATTTATTATTGATCCTGATCATCACCAAAAACTAATCATCTGTTCTTTGGCCCACTTCTGACAGTTCCTGAAAATTTCATCAAAATCGGTCCATAACTCTTTCTGTAATGTTGCTAACAGACACCTTGGACGTAACCACGTTATTATGTCCAAGCAGACAGACAGACAGACAGACAGACAAACTAATGGAACCAAAAACATAATCTCTTTGGCGGAGGTAATGAACAAAAGGTAGATCAAGATATGCCAAACTATGGAATGCTTTTTGTTACATCTTAACATGCATCATTACCGGTGTATTAATGCTTCCGCCATAATACGTCACATTGTGATAGGTAGCAATAAACGCCCAGGTGGCAGCAAACTTGGCCCCAATAGAACACGCCTCACTCCTCCCTACATCCTCGTTGACTTTGTTTAGCACTGCCTCGCTAGTGGTCTGGCGGTAGTACACCGTACCCGCAATCGATGTTTTGATGTCTGCCCAAAACGGAGCGATTATCCGCTTGTTCGAGCCCAGTGGTAAAGCGGAAGGGTCGTGACCAGTGACTGTTCTAAGGAAGCTTAGAACACCATTTGTGTTCACCTGAATAAATCCAAACCAATCAAATCGAATGTTGGTAAAGATTAGCAGATTGTCTATTGATGGACCTGAAGACGGGGAAAGCATAAGGCTACCACTAATTTATAAAAATAAAAAATGAAAATCTTTTTTCAAAAATACTGGGAGTTGGTACTTGGTGACCACTTGCACCCTCACCCTCTGATGGGTGGTACTTGACGCACATCTTATTAGATATAAATATGCTATAATTTTATTCAAAAGCGACATCTCTTCAAAATAAGAATGAAATAAATTTAACACATTTTCAGTCAAAATACCGCTAGACACCTATGTATATCAATATCCCCTATGTGGAATTTGTGGAATCGTATTTCGAAAAACAAGGCAGCAAAGCTGTCAAATGTACAGACAAAAAACAGAAAATAATGATGCAAAATATGTCATTTTGATGCAATAATAAATAATGCTTATAATAGCACTGTTAGTCAACACTGAATTTTAATCATGCACAACAGGTAACATGGTCAATAACGGGAGCTGCCCAGAGATATTTTCTGACAGTGCATAATATAATATTACATAATGTNCGACAGACGCAGATGACGGCTATATGTACAGACACATCTGTGTCTGTACATAAAAAAGAACAACATTTAAACTTCAGCGCTCTCCTCTACTTGTGGCCACCCATCCATTTCAAAACATGACCCCTGCAGCGGAACAGAGAAACAGTTAACTGAATTTATGCAGTAAAAATGTTAACTTGACTTACATGTACCTCCCGACCAAGACCGAATCAAACATTTAAACATGCAGTATGAAGCGCATGTACATCTTTGTCAAATAATACGAATCGCCAAGCACATAAGGCAGTGAAAAGAACAAGATAAACTGTATGTTATTAACAAGGAAATGGACAAATTCCATAATAAATATGTAGCATCGCATAAATAATTATACATTATAGCCTACACAGGAACAAATTCATAAGCACGAACAGCAAAAGTACTGACACTTGCTGTCATTTTCATCACTTTTAAAAATATCGCAGGACGTAAAAAGCACTACCTCTATCATACTTACGTATAAGGACGAATGGACATTTTCGTAATAAGAAAAACTAGTAGACAGCGTGATCGCGCTGGTAGCTCCGTCATCGCCCGGGGGCATGGCGCTGTCCCCCTCTGCGGGGCCGTACGGGTACAGTATACTGGAGCCATGGACTGCAGCTGTTAGACAGAAATCCAGAATAAATATAAACTGGAGGTGCACCTCAGCAACACCGTCATGTTTCGTGAGTGTCCATCATTAACAAATGATATGCTAGGATACTTTATCTTTAAAAGTGATCATCTGTTTCAGCTGGAGAAATCCAGTTTTTAAGTTTTTCAGGTAAACCTTGTGATTTATATTTATATGGTAAATTTAACCAATTGAAATTGAAATCAATCAGCTGTGAAAAAATGTTCTTTGTAATTTATCCTTAAGGAAATGCAGATATTTTCCAGAAAGGTCAACAAAATATAAATGGGCAGATTTTTTCCTATAATCTGCATAAAACCTAGATAATTGAAATAACACACTAACAGCCCGCCTTTAATTTAACATTTCTTTAGTAAATATTTCTAAATCAATCTACATGCCTTTTCTTTAAGCATTAAACATCTTTAAAAGTATCATCCTCAGATGTATTTTACAAATCATAGGTAATGAAATACAACTATATTTCATTTGCCACAACTGTAAGTAAAATAATATGTGACTTGGTCTAATACATCCCTAACACATGCCATACAAATACAAACAAACTGGCAGCTTGACCAATTAACTTGGTCAATTAACTTGCCTATTTATGCTGTTAACTATGCAAAGATACCATTAAGACTGGGTTCAGCCAGGCCCTAATTAGGATGGGTTCTGGGCCTCTCATGGCATAGGACTAGATTAGGACTGGGCCTGTAACACATATTTTAAGACGAATATTCAGAACACGGAAACAAGCTGCAGATAAATATGGTTCCTTCCTCAAAGGTAAATTAAACGTCTCGACAGCGAGTTTTGATCGAGTATCTGAAAAATAACTTTTGGACGCTATAATGGTATTCTTCGTATTAGTTTAAAAGGTTACAGGGACTGTTTAAGTTTGAATTTTAGATAGATTAAAAATTCCACAAGTTGGACCACGCAAGTTCGGTTGTTCGGTTGTTATTCAGTCGTAGAGTCAAGACCTTTGGCAACTGGTTGCGCACAGGTTGATTAATTCAATGCGACATGAGTCAGTGCTTGCAGTATTACGTCAAGACGTAACTATTACAACTTCCATGCAGAGCGCGTTTGCGTGAGGGGCAAAAAAAAGTGTCGAATTAAAATAGATCAAGACGTACTTTTTTTATTTGTTTTACTTAAAACCCATTCTTGTAGCGTTTCGATACAGAGTGCGTCTCAGTGGTAAGCCGTATCACCTCCAAATCTTATATTTTCTTCTTTGACTTATATGTACCCTGAGTGTCAGATCAACGTCAAAGCTAGCCTGTTAAATATACAATTGTGATGGAGTCGCTTTTACTGGCTCTGATGACAGCGACAATCTGAGGGCGTTCTTCTTCAAAATTTTGCCTGAGGCGCTTCCATGTTTGGAAGTCGCACGTCACAGCTGTGTCCGCCTGGATCCATATTTGAAAGTCATAAGTCTCGTAGGTCACAGGTTTAGCCGCCTGGAGCTGCCTTTCCAACCTTGCGCTGAAGTTATCTCGTGCAGACGAGACAAGATGCCTGACGCGGAGTTAGAAGTTTGAATTAAAGACAGTCTCAGTGGGTTAGATTAATGTATAGAAGCAGGTTCTATGTAAAGCTTTGATCAGATTTGTGTTTTGTGAGATTGTTTATTATTATATTAATAAGTCTGGGTCACAAAAGTCCTGTTAAGACAACTAGAATAAAGAATTAGAAAAAGAAAACTATTTATCATGATTTCGGAGCACAGCCAGAAGTACTTCCGGCTCAAGGTCACGACCTCGATTTTCCCACGCTTACGACCAATCACAGCAGGCTTCAGTCAGAATGAGATAGACGTCACGACTACACAGCGAAACTTGTCAGACATGTAAGTGCCGCCTGTCCATCTTTTCGGTACATGTACCGATCAAAAATAGACAACGTAAAGCCCAAAACGCTCTTATACACGTAACCAACTTTGTATGAGCACAAATATTGTCATTTATTGTGAACAGGATAATATGATAATCAGACACACTTGAGACCTGTGAAGCGCATACTCACGTGTCGAGGAGTAGTTTCGCCATTGCCTCGTATGTGAGTCCTAACTCAGCTTTAAGTGTCCTCCACCGCCCCACCTCCCTCCCAACATACACAGTCTGAGTGCTTCTTCGTCTGTCTCTAATTTTCTTTCGTATCTTTCGAACTGGAGTGGCTATTTTCTTTCGTCCC